CTGAAAGGGCGAGCATGTTTGGTGTGACAGGGATTCGAACCCGCGACCCTCTGATTGCGAGTCGAGTGCCTTAACCACCTGGCCATGCCGGGCCATTTGTTTATATAAGTCTATCTTTCTATATAGCCACGTATGTACACATTTGAATGTATAAAAACATTAAAATTTATAATTATTGTCAAAAAAAAGAAAATCTTAGATATATATATATATATACACTTATTCTGCTATTACATATATATGTGTGTCTGAGAAGACGCGAGAAGAGTACTGTTGGACACGTGGACCAACAAATGTGTCAAACTTTTTTTTCTATTATATCATATAAGATAGATATAATTCAAACACAAGACAATGGTTTACATTCATATAAAATATTTTACCCATAGAATTCAATGTTCTACTTAATCCAATAATTGGTTTCTGTACTTATCTATCAAGTTCTTTTTACTATTCTATCTATGTACATGTGTAATTTTTTAAATGTCAGAATTTCAAGATATTTGTAATTTTGTTTATCTCCATACACTTGAATGCACATATCTTAATAAATCTATTTTAATATTTGTGAAAACCCTGTTACTCAAAAATGGCTGAAACACTGAAACTACAACACAAAAACTATCAAAATGATACACTTTCAGGAAAAACTACCGAAACACAGTTTTTCAGAAAAGTATTGAAAAAAAAAAAGATACATACATAACACTTGTTTGTTTGTTTAGAATTTCTATACAATGCTACATAAGGGGTATCTGCTCATAGCTATACCTAATTTCGAACTGACAAAAGACAGCTAGACAACAGCATCCACCACCGATTCTTAAACTACACTTGCTTGAATGAATAACAGAATTTGTCTGTCATTCTTAAAGTATGTTCAGAGCTCTAATGGAAGGAGTGCATTTTTACAGCAACAGGATGTGAACAATGAACCTCTGGATTCACAGTTTAAGCATGCTAACCACTAGTCATGCCTGGCCTTGCATATAACACAGTAAATTTAAGGAATAAATCTGACAAACATAATTTCTAAAAGCAATACAAAGTCAGACAAAAATGATGTACCACTTTTTAAATGGGTTTAAGATAATAGTTTAATGTTAATATTAGGTGAAGAAGATCATAGAAAACAATGAAGTAAAAGAGAAACATATATATAAAAAAGGTACATGCAGGTTTGTAATATACATTCAAGTACATTAATACCATAACTTTAGTCTCTTACAGTGTCCATGCACCTAAAAACTATTAAACGATAATACAAACGTTTTTCATCAATATGAAGAGGATCTAAATTCAATTACTATTTATGTGAACCTTTCTATACTAAGCTCCAATGATTTATTCTTGTCATCAACATATTTTCTTCAAAACCATAATTCTCAATTGGCCATGTTATTGGTTTTATTATCAGATGTGAGCTTACATGTTCTCTTATTTACAATGATACATTTGCTGAATTTCTGTAAACATAATTCACATAAATAATCTCTGAAATTAAAACCTTCTTTGCACGAATGGAAAAGGTTTGTATGGTTGTTTAACAGTTTGTAAGTACAGGGATAGAAAGAACTGGTATTAAACTTCTCGCACTTTTAAGCATCATTACACAATCATGATATCAAGGTACATGTAACTATTATAAAGACTCTGTGTTAATAAAAAAAATCAGATCAGTACTTGAGCTGTTTATTTTAAAACTATCCAGGTTCGAACATAGTTTACCTCGGATCCAGTTCCTCTTATCAGATCTTGTGGAATGTAAGTACCCCCATAAATTCTGGACACTTCTTTATCAGGGACTGGGGTTAGTCCTCTATAAAGAAAAACTAATTAAAAAGTTTGCATCAGTTTCTACTTAGCATACAACAAAATGTTTCTGAATGAGCATATTTTTGTACCAAAAAGCATAGGCTATTTTACAACCTTTTTTTTCCTTTATAAACTATATTTTCTTTAGATTACAGTTAACTATACCTTGACATGTAGAAAGTGACAGCAAGTTTTGTACTTTATAAAATGGCTTGAAAATTCTGTCTGTAATTGATTAATCAAGGTATAAACCTTTCAAACTAGAATACTGAAACTATTAACACTCTTTCATGAGTACTGCAAACAGTGTTATATATATATATATATACAAGTCAGTCAGGAGCCACAATGCACTATATTGTTTTGTATAAGTGACTTTACCTTTAAAAAGAGCTTAAAAATCTGAAAGGACACAATATACAAATACAAAACATACCTGTATACACTTCCAAACTGAATTTGATGAAAAGAATCGATTTTCATCAACAGCCCCTGAAAAAAAAAACATGCTTCATGAAAGCTAGAAAATATTGGTTTTGTATCAGACCTTTCACAAAAGATGTGCTCGCACACACACACTTCGATAACTAAAAATACTCAGGTGCACACCCTCAGGGTCTACTTAGTATTTGTGCAAAATTTCAGGTTTCTTAGTTTATCCCCTTTTGGAGTTAATGGCAGTCACATACACACACCTCTTTATTATTATAGATTTGACCTTTAATGTAAATCTGATCATCGAATTTCTTTTACCATCCATTTAGTTTTATTGTATATTTTCATGAACTGGTGTTTGGTTACTTTTTTTAGACTTTTGTGTAGTACAGATGCATAAAATGTATGTACCTTTACTAATGGTAAAAAAACATCTATTTACCTATTAAGTTTTGTTTCATTCTAAAAAGTATGTTTGTGCATAAATAAATTAGTGCACATATCTCTAGCTCATATTATAGTAGGAATACAACAAAATTAAACAAAACTATGTTCAACTAAACTAAAAAGCTAGTATTTAAATAAATGCGCGATCTAAAAAAAATCATATTATCACACTTTTATCATAAGTTCACTTTCTATGGAAACTCGGGTTCAAAATCATGACAGCTAACATCCTTCCCCATCTTTCTTGATAAAATCTGCTGCAAAATATTTTAAAATAAAAAATATCCATGTTGAAATAAAATGTAAACAAATATATGCATAGATAGTTATAAATATAATCAACATAATTAGCATCTTCATAACACTTACTTTATGAATATCATAATGAAGTCCTCGGATTGCAAAGCCAGGTCTATATTCAAGCTGTCCTATCTCCTTGGGATACTATGAATGAAAGGTAAAAAAAATAAAATAAAGTACTTGATGTGTAAAAACCACAAGCTTAAAAATTGTACATAAATAGACATATACTGTAACAATGGTAAACAAAGGTCTCTTTATGTAGTAGATACACACCTATTCAGACCATATATTTTCAACTGCAAGTCCACTCAAATTTTGAAGAGTTTATAGAAGGAAAGCTAATAGTGCTCTTTTCCAGTTTTGTTTGTATACATGTATTTCATACATGCCAGAGGAACTTAAAACCATTAGCCTACCCTAACCACTGAACTTGAAATCTCTCAACCAATTCCTAGTTTTCAAACAGGATATACATACAAAGAAAATTTGAATAATTTTAATGGTGGGTCTCATATAATACTATGCATTTGGAATGGTATGACACTGTGAAGGTCATGAGCATTAAACTGTTTGCTGTTCAACATTCTGAAAATATTATCAAAATACATTAAACTATAACACACACACCACATATAAAAACAGCCTAGAAAGTTAAATTTCTGCAAAACATATGTATTATCAGTTATAGATGTACAAGAAACAAGAAAATATTACCAGTACCTTAAACTTGTTAATTAACCAATCTTGACCAAGATCATATATTAAGTAATGAAGAGATTCTTTATACACCGCCAACGTGTAATCATAGTCAAATCCATAAACTTCAATATCAGCAAGATTAAGCTCATTATTTGCAAACACTCCATGAGGATCAACATCAGGAGAAGGCAGCTCAACTAGAGGAATAATAAAAAAAGGATTAATATGTGTCATAAATGTACTGACTGCCATAATACACGTTTTTGGAAATAACTGTTCCAGATTTTCTGTAAAAATATTTTTACTGTGCTCTTTTCCTAAGCTAAAAAAGAAAAAGAGAACTTATCATGTTTATGAACATAACATGTACTATCAAGGTAACCACTGTTCTCCATAGGTTTTTCAGAACTGGGGGTTTCAAATTATGAGAGTGAAACTCCAAAATTTTTCAAAGAAATGTGTGTTTGATCATTTAATAATTATGAATTCAAGAAGGTTTTCTTTAGCCTAGCAATCAGGCTGAGTGCTGATACAGTCCATCTTCAGAGGTGCAACAAATAACAGCTCATGAACATTCAGCAACTGCCTTAAACAAACTATTTGATAATTTAATTGAAAACACATTTTTTAGGTTGCAAACTATGTAGGCATAAAGCCTGGATTAATCAGACATGACCAACTAACAGGTCACTCACAAATGTACAAGTCAATCCAACAATACTCATTTCATTAATAGTTGCATGACTGAGATCATTGAACAGACAGGAAACCATGTGATAACCATGACCTCTCTGTGTTCAAATTTGTAGTGTATACTATATACATGCAACTAACACCTGCCTCAAAAAGTAAATATGATATTGACTATTGCTGTGAAGTTAGTAACACCATTAGGATACTGAAATTATTGAGCTGTTTTCTTTTTGTCATGAGCATGAACCAAATTTCCATGTGTGAATGAATTCACATGACATAATACTCTGTGAGTGAAACCTGTGCATGAATTACACATGGTTCAGGTTATCAAGAACCCTTTGCACTGTTTATTAAAACTAGAAAAATTAATTTAAAACAAAGGTTTTTATTAGGAAAAATATAATCAAAAGAAATATTTTTTATAAGCACAGTTTGAACACAACTAAAAGCAAATAGACAGAGTAATTCAAAACCCATACAGAAAGTAAATTAAAAACTTTATTAATATAGGATAGTAATGACATTAAGATGCTTTGTTTTGTAAATATGACAGATATTACTAAACTCCATTATTAGTAACATTTTTGGTTTTGTTTTGCATAAATCAATTTCATTTAGATATTTTTCCAAAACATACAATACAGCTTATATAATTATAATGCAAAACAAACAAATCTTACCAAACATAAAACAAAGTAATTTTTAGTAAGGTAAGCAAATATTATGGTTTCATAAAAAATCGTCTTAATCTTTATCAGTGTCTAGATGCAACTGTTTTAATTACTTTTACTAATAGTCATCACTCATCACCAACTCTAGGTTGTTGTTGTTTTTAAGAAATTTATTATTCATTTTAAGTTTCCTAACATAAGGTGCGGTTTTCTTGAAACCTACACTCAAGGAGTAGTTTAAGTTGTTAAAAAATGGCTTACTAACACGCTAGAGGATTAATCAATTAGCTCAGTTGATAAAGCACTTGCCTGGCATGTGATAAGTTCTTGGTTCAACTCCCAGACAAAGAAATAAATACTGTAATAAATTATCATACTTGCATCAATGTATCATATTAATCTTATCATTTATTTATAAATTGAGGGCACACTGAAATATTAAGTTTATTGTTAGGATTTTTCACTAAAATATCATTGTTTAAAATTTTAAAGTTATGGAGTTTGAGTTCTAAAGAACTACTGATCATAAATATCTTTTACATTTGCCAAAAAAAATTACTGACAGTTATAAATATTAGAGATAGTCAACTACAGTATATTTTAAGATCCTCTGTTAACCTCATCAACATACCTGGGGTCCACATAGACCCCAATGATTTTCTTGGTTGTATATCTTTTTTACACAATCATTACAAATTTATATCAATTCATATAACTGCCAGGCAGAAACCCTAAATCAGTATGACACTACTGTTTTCAAAATAGGCAGATGGAGTATGTAGCTACAATCTAATATTTATCTGGGGTCCATACTATCAATAACCATCACTATACATGCAATTAGCCCTATAGCATACCAAATAAATTTCTAAACATATATTTTACTATATATGCTGTTATAGAGGATAATCCACCAAAGTACTACAGTATCATCTCATCTCTGTTTGCTTATAACATCATTGTGGTAAGCATGTATGTGCATCTCATTCCTCAACAAATGTTCTCTGTGATGACTGCTTATAATGCCCTATTTTATAGAAACCTTGTTTGATAATTATTGTAAATAACCTGCTTATTGGACTTTCAATCCATAGCCTACTATAAGGATATAAATATATATATATGTTGGGGGTTGGTGAGACCCAAGGTGATCCACTACACACATTTTCAGTTTTCTTTGAGTTGAATTTTGCAGTGCTGTGGTAATCTCTTCATATATTTGTGGATTATGACTTGAATATTGAATTTTGATAAAACTTTGGCATTTTTTTGGTACACTGTTTGTAGAAAGAATGGTCTAATACTACTTATTAGTATACTAATAAACATTTTTATTTTGTAATTTCTCGATTTGTCAACATATTTCCTCTAGAATACATATATTTTTATGTTGTTCACATTGCATACTAACCCTAATAAGAGTTGTAATGCAATTGATTTTTGGAATTTCAATCCAGAGCTTACTATAATGGTAATTTTGTACTGGGGTCCACACACAACATAATTTTTCAAAGGGGTGCTGATGAGGGTTTAACTATTCTTATTGCATCCTACTTAATTTGTTTGCCCTTTTCTAAAATTTAATACTTACTTTTATGTACCATATTATCTTGTGAAGTTAATGAAACTATTCAAACAAATATATATCAACTTTTTTGCAGCTGAATAGTTGGTCATTTGGTTAAAGGACATCACTGGATATTTAATATCTGGCTAAATCACTATCCATTATATCTCCAGACTTTTTAGCAAATAAACCTGTACATGTTTACTTGACTTAACTAAAAAATGTCCCATTTTATTATTATTGTCAGTTAATAAATAAGTATACAATATGCAAAACAAAAATTATGGTAGTTAGTTCTTAATTTGCATACACGCTCATTAGAATCACCAAAAAATCAGAAATGGGCCAAATTAACAGATTACACTAACTTTTATATTGCTGAATATCCTGAAATATACACACAAAAAAGTTTAATATTTATGAATATATATGAAATACAATGTAAAATTTTACACGTAAGCAAAAGGATCATTATCACGATACTTTGTATTTCATGCTTATGAACAGTCTTCTTTCATTTTATATCATTTTTTATAAATTTGAACTACAAACAATTAAGAGTAAGGTATTTATAGACTATGAGGTAAAACAGTTTCCTAACATCATAATCATTGTTTTTTCTAAATAGTACTTAAATATACGGTTAAAATATGAGAAAATAATTTTAAACAGATTTGTTCAGCTGTATATCACATTATCCACAGGATGCAATTCATCACTGGCATGAATGATGGTCACACTGCATAGATAGCACCCTCTGGTGACCACATATTTATGTTCCTCATGGTTTTATTGGTAATTCCAAGGAACAGTATTCATTTCATAGATGTTCAAACATGTCAAAAAGCTTTACTTGAACCGTATACAATATACATCCATCTTTACACTATCAGTTTTGTTTTTTAACATTATCATGATCATTTTTTCATAAAGGGCTTATGATATTGTAAACCAGTTAGTATTATTTACTGAAGTTTACCTCATCTTCTGTAAAACTCTGCAACAATTTAAATGGATGAGCTAGAATGAATATTTAGTCTTTCTTAACACTACACATCATGAACAAGCATTTCACATATTTTCTTTTATCTGTTTTTTCTAATAGTTGATGATTTTAGAGAAGAACATAGTAATTCTGCTGATAAATTGTACTACATTATACTTACAAAATGCAGTTTACTTTTCTACAGAAAAAAAAAACCTTCACCAATTCCTTACATCAAAGAATGCTGCAGTTAACTGAAATATATTAATACAATGTTTTTAACTTTAGGCCATGCACAGGAAACTGAAAGTGTTTCAGTTCACTAGCTTCAAGGAGTGAGGCAAGGTAGTAAGAAAACATGGTAACTAAGTTGTACACCTTACTACTGCTAAACTTAACTGTAGTTAACCAAATTATGAAAGTTATCTATTTCTAATTTTCCATATACTTGACAGTTTGTGATAAAAATTAAAAACATTAACATCAAAGTTTTGAAGCCAATGTGTACAGGGATGAGGTTTCTAAATTTTGTAATACTGAATGATTGTAAAGAAAGTTTCTCCATTTAGCACATCTCACAAATGGTATGACTTGGAACTGTAAAATTGCACAATGGTGTTACGAGTGTCATGCAGATACCACACGTTCTCACTGAGGTTTCTTTTGCTTATTTCCCATGAGTGTAAATGGGCCTATTGATTAAAGTGCAGCTAATTCTATGAATATGCAACTGACAAGTGTGCAAAGACATGAACTAGTAAAATATTATTATACCAAGGATGCACTAGAGACAGTTCTCAAGTAATACCATAGAGTGAATAGCATCTGCAGATGCTTTGTTCAAGTGTCACTGTCCACAAGTTCATAATAAAAACTTGGGGAGACAAGGTACATTTGTGGTAAGTCATGACAGGTAGACCACCAATACCTACTAATTATCACTAAGGTCAGCCATGCAACAGCAGAACAAACCAGCACAAATGCATAAGGGTGCAACAGTGCATGTTATGTCACCCATTGCTTGGATTTGCCAATTGAAACTTTTTATAAGGTTCTTTATTCAACTTTGCAAATGTTTATTTACAAGGTGCATCATGTTCAAGCATTAAAAAAAAGGGAGATGGATTTAACTCAATGTGTTTATTTTATATTGAAGTTCTTCACAACACTAGATGTCAATGACTAATTACCTTTTAATACTTTATGGACTGATGAAGAACTGGAAGTGTCAAAACATGCAACTGCTTTATCAGTCTGAAATTAATCCATGTGTAATATTTCCTATATACCTCCATGATGCTAAAGGGACATAACAGTGTTGTTTCAGAGCTAATTTTTGAGTGTTAAGGGTGTCGTGCAAATGCCACAATATCAGTTCTTGCATCTCTCCACTATGACCTAATATCTGATCAATCACAGCAACTATACAAAATGTGCTTTTCCAATATCCAGCATGTATTGCAACCATGTGACAACAGAAATTACAGCAACAACATGCATCTCATCTGGTATGCAGGCCACTTCACAAGCAATTGAATCTTTTAGGTTTGGAATTGTATGAGACTTCCCATGATACATATGTGACTTCATTTGTTATGTCTGGTGAACAAATTGGTCATGAAAAAGGAAAATAACATGAAATGGTTATGTTCTGGTTACCAGAATGCTGAGGGGCACCACCCTACACAAAAACTGTAGTGTAGCATTTTGTTATTGCAACATAGGAATTACATTGGTTATGAGCTATGCATAGTACCATACAGCATTGACTGTGCAGAGTTGCTGTTGATGTGTTGATGATTCTTCTTTTGCAATTTCATCTTCCTATGCTATACTGTTTGTATGATATGGTTCACTGAATTGAGAAATATTCTTTATATTATAAATATAATCACTGTGTCACAGAGCTTTAATAATAATAATAGTATTACTATTAGTAATACCAAAAATTTTTAAATAGGAAAAAACAACAGGTGTTCTCCATACGTAGTCTGTAGATGTTGACTATGCGAATTTCAAAAGTAGTAGTACTACTTCTATTATTTGTTCTCAGAAAAACACGTATGTTCAATAACTCTTGAGACTTGATAAAATTACAAAATGATAAAAGCCTACAAGTATAACCCAAGGGCTTTCGAAAGGTAGAAATTTTCGAAAGCGCTCCGGTTATACTTATAGGGTTTTTCATTATTTTACTTTTATTAGTGTTAATGATACCAATATTAGCATATGCCTGTTAAGTGCTGTTTATCAATTCTAGGTTTAATACCTCACCTTCACTGGTTTCTTTAGCGTTAAAATATTTTTCAAGCAGCATATTTTTATCTTTTTGCACGTATGACGATGAGTAATATCTTTTAATTGCAAAAAAACTTGCAACACTTTTATTTAGCTTCTTTGACGGTTTAGCAGGAATATGTTTCAATGTCAAGATGCTTTCTCGAAAAATAACTTGAGAAAGACTACGAAATAACATACATAACACGTTAGTCGCCATGTTTATTTAAACACTTTTGACGCGCCCTCTCATCGAACTAAGGTATTTAATATATATATATATTAATTAATTTTGTATATATTAATTAATTTTGTAGTTGGACTTC